TGGGAGTTAGCAAAGTCCGTAAAATAATCAGTGTGAAGTATTTACACGTTAATGATACATGAAACGAAAACAAGAATACCGCAAGAATAGCAAAAAGGAGACGCCTGGATCAAAGGAAAAGTGATAGCGAGGAAGGAGATGGGGAAATTTCGGAAAATCAAACGAAGACGTCCTGAATGAGTTAAGTCTGTTCGAAGAAACTAGCAAACTTTGGGGGCTAGGCGATCACAGAACTGGGGATACGGATAAGCAAAACTGACAAAGAAATTCAGCATTATGGCTAAAATGCACTATAAATGTACTTGAGATGCCGCAGGCGACCACGGATATGCGTCCACAGTTTGCTCAGGTAACACGGGCTTAATCGAGTAGACTACTCGTGAAGGCAGTGCCTAATATCTGCATGCATGGGAATCAGAACCCGCTGTCGGCTCGGTGAGACGGCAGTGGTTCTATAGACTTGAGAAACAAAACGTGGAATAAAACTAACACTGGGACTAGAATCGAGCGAAATCGGTCAACCAGAAAGATAAGAGACGAATCTACGGGAGCATGAAGGAAATCCGGATAGGAGGCCAGAGTCAGATTAGCCAATCGAAAGAGAAGAGGATCCATTTGAACAGCAGGCGTGATAAGGCCAAACTAAACTTGTCAAAAGGGCACATCTTTTGACGAGTGGAATGTAAACAAGTCAGAATTAGTGATAGGGCGGGAGTTGGATAAGAGTTTAAATGGTAGATAAATGAACCAGGACAGAAAGAGGAGTGATATGGAAACCGTTTCAGCAGAACGTTGGTCGAGAGATTGACTTCTCTTATCTCTTTGTGGAGTTGTAGCTTTGTACTGAGAGTATGAAGACTTACTGATGATGCTAACTACGATACCAGAGAAACGCCTGAGAATGCACCAAGCCTACGGTTTGACGATTGGAATTATGATAACTACTCTGGCAGAGGACTTCGGACAAAGTGAGTTCAACTAAATCATTATGACAATACTAAGTTGCTAAAACGAGACCAAACATATTCAATTTGTTAAGAAGTTCATTTTCGAAAAGCATAATTATAATAAGAAAATGTTTAATGTAAAAAGATGAATATGAATCAGTTTAATAAATTTTGTCAAATAAATGACATTGTTAGATTGTAAGTGTGAATTAAATGGATGGTACGACAGTGGAAATATATTAGCAAAAAATCAACAAATAAGTATAAGTACATATTTCATTGAAACTAAAGCAGCTAACATGTAATTACTCAAGCAAACTTTCTCGTCAAAGTAAGGAGTTCACTAAAGTAAATCACTCTTTTAAAGATATGAAGACCAAGATGTTGTGGCCTCTGGTATGGTCGCAATA